TTTTCGGACCCAAAATTTTGCCGGACGAGTACGTTGCAAACGCTTTCGATTGACTTTATCTCATTTTTTTAGGCCAAAATTCGGTACTTAGCCCAAGAAAACAGATATCTTGTCCTTTGCGCGGAAATATTTAACACACAAAAAAGGCGGGGCCCCTACAAAAATTATTCAGGGGCCCCCAGCAACTCGAGGCCCGGGGCAAATTGCCCCCTTTGCCTCCCCCTCTGGGCGGCACTGAAGGTTAGATGTGCATTTTGCCATGAATTACATTGCATCCTACGAAAAGGTAACAGACAGAGATAGTTGATTGAAACTTTTGCGGGATTCGAATCGTTGCTTTGTTTGTCTAAAGATAGGGCACCGCGCAAATATGAGTGATACCACAAAAAAGTGTCGACATTGCTCTGGACGACACCGCCAATCTATTTGTAACAAGACGCTTTGTGGAGCGTTAACTCGCTGGGGCTATACAAGTCATACAAATACGCACATTACTAAGCGGAAAAGTCGAAAAGGCTTAACACAATACTAAAATGCAGTATGCCCTACAAATACAAATAAAGTTATATTTAGTACGCTACATTCTTCAATTAAGACTGTCAGCCGCCAGTTGGTCCGCCGGGCGGACTATGCTAAGAATAAACTGCGCTTTAAAACGTTCAAAATAAAATATTTGGGGGCTTTCGGCTCAAAATATTATCAAAATGAAGAGAGAAGTAGGACGAATCCACTGGTATACAGCCGAAAAAGAGAAAACCAATGATACCAAAGTTATCAACAATACAATTTCGCTTGGCTTTCAAAGACAAAGCCATAAATCGCTAGAATACTGTTGTTTAGTAATACATTTGACATCCGTATGAGCGATTTGTTAACAATACAATTTCGCTTGGCTTTCAAAGACAAAACCATAAATCGCCAGAATACTGTTGTATGACATCCGTATGAGCGATAAAAATATCACCGTTCGACTTCGATTCAGGGTAAGAAATTGTACTAATTTATACGGATGTCAAATTATTACTAAACAATAGTATTCTAGCGATTTATGGACTTTGACACTTTGTCTTTAAAAGACAAGCGAAATTGTATTGTTACTGTAACAATAACAATACAATTTCGCTTGTCTTTCAAAGACAAAGGCCATA